AAAGAAAGAAAGAAAAAGAAAAAAGATGTTAGGAAACACATGCTACTTGCCTTAGAGTGAGGACAGTGCTGTGGTAGAGGATGCTGGGAAGAGTGGGCGGACTAGTTTCCTAGACAGCAGAGGAAATGACACTGGGAACAGTACATTATGCTACTGGGGTTAAACTGAAGGAGTCAGAGCAGAAAAGAAGAAACTATAAGAAACATACACGAACTGGGCTATGGTGGCGCACGCCTTTAATCCCAGCACTCGGGAGGGAGAGACAGGCGGATCTCTGTGAGTTCAAGGCCAACCTGGTCTACAGAGCGAGATCCAGGACAGGTGCAAAGCTACACAGAGAAACCCTGTCTCAAAAAACCAAAAATAAAATAAAATAAAATAAAAGAAAAGAAAAGAAAAGAAAAGAAAAAAGAAAGAAATAAGAAAAAAACATACACACCGAGGAACAAATGTGAGGGGAAGAGAGGGACCAGAAGAGACACAGACCCACAAAAGCTGGCCCTGAGAGGCAGGACACAAAGATGGCCACCCAAAGAGAAGCCACCAACAGCCAGTGTCAAGGTTTCCTGAAGGTGTCCAGAGACTGAAGCTGGGAAAAGGGTTCTTACTTTTGTGACTAGGGATTAGAAAGCAAGCTTCCGGGTTTTCAGATATGAAACTGGACACACTTTATACTGCCATAGAACTATGACACACTTAATTAACTCTCTCCACTGCTGTCCATGTGTGTCACCGACCCTGTGGGGACAAGATCACACAGGAAACGCAGTGATTTCAGAGCAAAGGAGGCTGTGATGACTTCAGAGTTGTCTAGGAGACAGGCTTCTGAGTATGTCTGGAGGCTTTCTGAAGAGGTTTAGCTTAGGGTTAGTTTAGACCCACAGCAAATGGGCTGGGGGCTGGAGAAACAAAAAGGCTGAAGGCAAAGAAAGCCAGCTGGGCATCAGCCTTCATCTTGCCCTGCTTCCTGACTGGCTGCAGTGTGACCCCAGTCCCCTCATCCCACCACCATTCCCTCCCTATATGCAGGACCCCTCAAGGGCCGAGGCAACACCAACCTCCTTCTTCCTGCCCGCCCTGCTTTCACCAGGCATTTTGTACAGCAGTCAGAAGAGCAGTTAACTACCCAGAGGCCAACTGTGGATGAGAACAAAGGCCGGGCCTGGAGGCCCCCAGCTCTGCTCCGGCAAGGGCAGACTCTGATCGCCAGGTGAGCAGTGTGGGCAGCCTGCAATGACAGACCTAGGGGGTAGGCAAGTGGTAGTCAGTGGAGCCTGATGTTGGGGATGAGAAGGGCATCAGCTGGCTCATGATCATTAATGGCAGCTACTCACATCTGTGGGGTGAAGAACAAGCCTTGCCAAGAATATTGCAGTTAGGTATGCTGGCACGCATCTATCAGGAAGTGCGTGCAAAGAGGGAGTTCCCCATAAGTGTGCAATGGTGTTCCACTGACCACAATCACAAAAGAGAGGAAAGGAAACTGGCCTGTTAGTGGAAAAGTGAGGCAAAAGTACACAACCCCAACATTGGAAGGAAGAAAAAACCCCAAACCCCAGGACCTACTTAAATGCCCAACAGGAAGCTAATGATAATTCAAACACAGTATTCTGTAGCTACAGAGGAAATGACAAACTGATACAGAATACTTTCAACAGGTTTTTGTGGGACGATATCCTGTCACTTAGACTATGAAGTCTGGGATTGCATACAGAAATCTATCCCCCAATACACAGAGGGGAAGAGAGGGGACCTTTGTGGGGTAGAGACAGCTGCGGGAACAAGAAGCCGAGAGTCAGACAGTAGTTTCCAGTTCACTTGCTACCCTGTCTCGCTCTAGGGAGGTGCTCAAAAGTAACCTGCTCAGTGAATCAGATGCTTTACCTTTCCCGGCCTACCGAGTATGCAGGCATGCGCACACCGTGTGAGTGTGTGGAGGTCTGAGGACAACTCGCAAGAGTGGCTCTTTCCTTCCATGACATGGGGCCTAGGGACTGAACTCAGGTCGTCAGGCTTGGTGGTAGGTACCTTTACCCACTGAACCATCTTACTGGCTCCACTTAGGTACAGGGACAGGATTTGAAAGTGAGACCCTTTGGGCTATTGTGCTTTTGCATCAATGACAGCATCCAGACACATAGAATAGCTCACGCCCTTTATTTTCTGTGACAAGAATTGATGGCTAAAGATGTAATTTAGTGACCTGACAGGCAGCACATCACTGTCTCTTGAAGCTATACATGGAGAAGTATGAGAGCTCATCCACCTGCAAGGACAGGCCTGGACCTGAGATTGCTCCTCCAAACATGTGCAGTAAAAGTCAGTTATGTTAGAATAGCTACAATTACAGAAATTATTTTTTGAGCAGCAGGAGTCCTTAGAGTAGTGAAGTGCCATCGCACGTGTTTCAACTCTACAGTGCTGGCAAAGCATGGCCGTGGCTGGTCTCTCTTGGCAAGACAGCCACAAAAACAGCTTGCTGCTCTGCACTGGGACCTTCTGCAGACGGCACAGTCTAAAGCCCCTCACCCGCACTCCCAAATCCCAGAGCTCACAGAGCTGTGTGCTGAATAATAAGGAGAAATTTCCACTGGCATATATAATTTCTGGAAATCATGCAAAATTAGCCATAACAGAGTTAAAAATACTCACAGGACCTTCAGGTACTAAACTTAGACTTTTATTAACTAAAAGCATGAAAGGCTCACTCAGTAAAATTAATTTTGCACAACTATTCAGTGAGAATACTTAATATTAGAATTTTAAGTGTGGGGTGTTTTTAGTATTTTAAGTATATTAAAGTAACCACTTGAAAACTGATATCTACAGCTGGTGAGAATTGATCAGACTGCAGAATAAAAGGAAAGAGGAAGTGCTGAGTACTTTATGGCCTGAAATCTATAGCAGGTATTTTAATTGAACCCTCATTTAGTGCCAAGAAAGTATCATTGCTCCCCTTTTACAGATTA